TTCTTAAATTATTCTGTTGGATTTTGATTTCACTCTTGGTTTATGCAGATGTCTTGAAATCTCAAGTACTTGATTCTTTTTTTTCCTCTTTTAATAACTCAGAATTTGATTCTTCTAATCTGTTTTTATGTGGCTAAAAGCTTGAACTTCACTGTAAATTGATAATATTGAATTGATCATCGTAGTGTATCATGTTTACTAGATATAAATTTTGCATTCTTTGGATCTTCTATTTGAGTTCTGTTAAGTGTTGATTCTTATTTTTGTTCTTATGGTTATTTTCTTCTCGTGCTTCAAGATTTTGGATAGTGGTGAAACAATATGAAGTTGAAGAGCAGCATAAGGACTAAAAGGCAGAGAAAAAACGGACTTCGGTGGGATTTGGGGCATATAATACAGTGTTTATGCGCCGGAGAGCAATTAATCAACGTAGAAAAGATGATACCTCCATTGGAATCCCTTGCTGCCGAAGATTATAAAGCTAGTAACGGTGAGAAAAGGCCAGATACCGGGAATATAGAAGAAGCTGAGTTGTCGCTGCGTGAGAGTAGTTCATTGAATTATGAGGTTTGCTTCTTCATTCTTTGCAGCTTTCAAGTTTAGTTTCGGAATACGTTTGTTCGGCATTGCCGTTATATGTCCTTGGGATCTGTAGCATTGTACTGAAAATTGGCGATGGCACATAGGTTTTCCTATTATTTCCTTTTAGTGAACCCGTTTCTGCCTTTGCCTCTCCCCTTTTTGCCAATTCTTTAACTGCTTTTATTTACTTTCTTTCTAGCTAAGGTGCCTTTGATTTGCAGGAAGCTTGAGCATTAATGGGAAGAATCGAATATCAGAAAGGAAATATAGAAGCTGCACTGCATGTGTTTGAAGGAATAGATATTGCTGCAATAACTCCCAAAATGAAACTTGGCCTTACTAGAAAAGCAGAAAGGCGAAAGAGACATTCTCATGACTACGCTCCTCCGATGTCCATCCATGCTGTTAGTTTACTACTAGAAGCAATCTTTCTCAAAGCAAAATCATTGCAACATCTCCAGAGGTTTAAAGGTAATGTTTTATGTATTGGTATACTGATCTTATGTTAACTTTTTCCATTGTAATATGGATGAAGTAAATTATAATTAAGAGCCGTTCTGAGTTACACTGAATTGTTCATTTTATTTTATGTTTGTGATCATTCTTGCAGAAGCTGCTCAAACTTGCAAGGTTATTCTGGATGTAATAGAATTTTCATTACCAGAAGGCTTGTCCGAAAACTTTGTTGCCGACCGTAAATTACAGGAGACTCTAAGCAAGGCAGTCGAGTTGATTCCAGAGTTATGGAAATTAAGTGATTCTTCATTTGAAGCAATCTTGTCCTACCGGTGGGCTCTTCTTCACTTGTGGAATCTCGATGCAGAAACTACTGCAAGGATTCAAAAACAGTTTGCTTTTTTTTTCTATTACATTCTGGAGGTGAAGCAAGCCCCCCGAACCTCCGCTCCCAAATGGGCAGTTCAATTGCCCCTAGTAATAACATAGAGGAAGCTGTGCTCCTGTTAATGATTCTACTAAGAAAAGTTTCTCTGAAAAGAATTGAATGGGATCCATCGATTTTGGATCATCTGTCATTTGCTCTGTCCATATCCGGTGATTTCAAGGCTTTGGCTAAGCAAATAGAACTGCTTCCAGGGGTTATTAATCGCAAAGAAAGATACCGTATTCTATCTCTGTGTTACCATGGAGCGGGTGAAGACTCGGTTGCTTTGACTTTATTGCGAAAAATGTTGAACAGTAACGAGGATCCACATTTGTTCCAGCATTATTGATGGCATCTAGAATTAGTGGGGAAAAACCTAATCTTGCAGAAGAAGGGATTAATTTTGCTTGTAGAGCCCTTGAAAGCCTGGAAAATGGATGCAAGGAGTTGGAAGGCACTACTAACCTTTTATTGGGCTTGGCTTGTTCAACTTGTTCGAAGTCAGTCTTATCTGACGTTGAGAGGGTTACAAGACAGTCTGAGGCCCTGCAGGCTTTGGAAAGTGCTCGAAAAATTTCGAGTACGAAAGACCCCATTATTCTTTGTAATCTTAGCCTGGAAAATGCCGAGCAGAGAAAGTTGGAAGCTGCGCTTTATTATGTGGAGTCTTTGCTAATAGTAGAAGGAGGTTCTAACATTAAAGGGTGGTTGTTGTTGGCACGCATATTGTCAGCTCAAAAACGTTGTTTGGATGGTGAAATCGTCGTCAATGTTGCCTTGGATCAAACTGGGAAATGGGATCAAGGTGAATTGTTTCGCACCAAAGCTAAGCTTCAAATTGCACAGGGGGAGCTCAAGAGTGCTGTTGAGACATATAGTCAGCTTCTTGCCCTTCTTCAAGTACAAAGTAAAAGCTTTGCTTCTGGGAAGAAGCATCATAAGGCCTGTTAAGTGCTTACCATTCTTTCGATTACCTACAGATTTAATCATTTTTATTGTCTTGGAAGTATCTGAAATGGTTCTCCTACTAAGTTGACTTGGTAATGCATTAGTTTACGTTAAAAGTTGATATGTTAGAAGGTAAAGTTTCAGAAACGATCTCCGGTACCATCCTTCTTGATGTTTGTTTGACTGTGTGACTTGCTATAACTCGGGTGCTTGTCGATGGAATGAATTTAGGACCTTTCACATTAGAAAAGTAGGTTGTAAATGGCCTTTTATTTTTTTCTTTTTTGAAAGGATGTAAATTTCCTTTTAGGGTATATGAATGAGGGTAGTTATCCATTTTAACTTGAGAACATTAAAATCGGAGTTTGCAGAGTATAATGCTCTTTCTTCTGTCATTTCCCGAGTGATATCGTTTCTCAGGATACACCCTTTATGGCAGCTAATCTTTTCAAATGATTGTTTACAGGATCTAAGATACCCTTCTGCAAGTTTTGAACAGGAAATATGGCATGATTTAGCTCATCTCTACATAAGCTTGTCGCAATGGAGAGATTCTGAGATTTGTCTTTCGAAGTCGAAGGCCATCGATTCTTACTCTGCTGATAGAATTCATGTCACAGGTAACTATATTCTTCACTTAATTTATGTTGTCATTATATGACGCGTCTTACATTCATAATTTTATGTTGGTATAGATATTATATAGTTTCCCGAGTTAATGTAAGACATTTTATGTTGCAGGTGTATTGAATGAGAGAAAAGGCCTGCTAAAAGAAGCTCTAGGGGCTTTTCAGGCTGCCCTGGATATCGACCCGGATCATGTCCCGAGCATGATATCGACCGCCTGTTTGCTCAGACGAGTCAGCAGCCAATGCAACGCAGTCGCGAAAAGCTTGCTGATGAACGCTCTTCGAGTCGATAGAATGAATCCGTCAGCATGGTATAATCTCGGTTTGCTTCACAAAGCCGAAGAAGGTGTTTCATCAGTGGAAGAAGCAGTTGAATGTTTCGAGATCGCCGCCATTCTTGAAGTGTCTGCGTCTGTTGAGCCATTCAGATAACTGCCCTTTGGCGGCGAGTTGCCATTTTTTTGGACAGTTATCACCGTTGTTCTATGTTCTTAATTTCTTTTAATACTGAATGCAATCAAATAACATTTCTTTTTTACATTATTCATAAACGAAAATTCATGTTTTAATCTATGATTTAAGAAATTCATACATCACTAATATGATTATAGAATGATTTCTTATCTAATTATCTTCATTACCTAATCTTGAAAAATGAAATACGAGAATTTATTGGAGATCATAATAAATATACTATATATACTTTTATTTCCAGCTTCACAAGCAAGGGGTGGTGGCGCAGTTGGCTAGCGCGTAGGTCTCATAGCAATAGAGTGATCCTGAGGTCGAGAGTTCGAGCCTCTCTCACCCCACAGCTTATTTTGATCAAGCAAAACAATATTCTTCTTTATAATACAAACTTTCAGCCAGATTTTCTCTTCAAAGAAAATTGAAACCTCTATTTTTTTCTTTAATTATAAAATGATCCTTAAATTTGATCAGTGTTATTAAATTAATCTCAATTTCTTTTATCAAATTAATCCTTGAACTTGATAATTTTAGTTAAATTAACCTGTGTACTTTTATTAATAACTTAAAAATCCTTAGGGTAAATTGAACACCCAAAAGGTTCAAGGGCCAATATATGTATTAAAAATATTTTATGCATTTTTAAATTGTGTGCCTCCTCTTATGTATAATTTATTTTTGTTGTACTTTTTATTGATGCATGTATAATATATTAAAATGAAATATATATATATATATATATGTTTTGAGATCGCTTTTATCCTAAATCACTTCAATGGTTAATATGACATTTAGTATTTACGTTAGATATTCTCGATCGAGTATTAATTACTATATAAAATATCGAAATAAACATATTTCATTCTCACTATACATGTAAATTTAATATTTTCATCATCATTTTTAATCAGAATGACTACAATGCGAATGTACATAAATTTTCATTGATATTTTAAGGAGAAAACTATTTTTATATATAAAAAACCATTGTTTATTCAAATATATTTATTTCAAGAGTTTTTTATGTCACTTTAGATTTGATATTTTGTTGGAAAACATTGGTGTTGTTTGAAAAATGACAACAATTAATACTTTAATCTTATAAATAGCTAATAATTTAAACTTAGCAGCTTATGTTATTGATTATGTTATGAGCAATGATTTTTATTAATGTTGAAAATTTAATGAAATTCTAAAATATTTCTAGTTTATTATTTGTTAAAGTTTACTTGTTTACAATGCTTAACTTTCTAAAAATGGCGTGAAAATAAAAAACGACTCGAATTAATATTATCGTTAAATTTTTAACGACCGGTGACTAAATTAGAAAGATTGTAATGTTAATGACTAAATTTATAGAAAAATAATTTGATTACTTAAATAAAATAAATTAATAATTTAATAACCAATGACGTAGTTTACCAAAAAAATTGTTCTAACAATAAGAGGAGGAAAAAGTTTGACACTATATAATTGGAGCGCGTGACGAACACGGTATACGCTAACGTGGCAACAAACGGTCAATTTTTCCATCGTTAAACTCCGTCTTCAGTAACCACTTTCAAAACCCTCCAAACGAAAACCATCTTCCATTTCGCAATAAACCAATGGCGGCTCAACCCAAACGAGGCGGAGTTTCCCTACCCGAGAGGCGATCAGCCTCCAACCCCGAATCCAACGTCCTCGCCCGGATCACTTCCTCCCCCATCGTTTCTCGCGGTAAGCAAGCCGCGAGCGACGCCGCTTTCGTCTCCAAGAAGCTCATCCGCAGCACCGGGAAAGCCGCCTGGATTGCTGGAACAACATTCTTGATCTTAGTTGTCCCTTTGATCATCGAGATGGACCGTGAGCAGCAGTTCAATGAGCTTGAGCTGCAGCAAGCTAGTCTCCTCGGTGCCCCGGCCACTGCACCCGCCAGTAAGTAATCGGGTCGGATTGTGTCATACCATGTCAGAGCTTGTTGGCTTTATCAGTTTTCGGCCATGTTTCAAGTCATTACCGTCTAAAACCTTTTAGATGTAGTTTAGGAGTTTAAAATTCCCCCCCCCCCTTTTTTTGGTGATTTTAAGCTTGAATTTTCTATGGAATGTTATTGGATTTGGTTTTATCAAGTTTATGCTTGTGCATTTCATGTTAAATAACCTTTCGAATGAAAACCAGATGGTTGTGGATTTTTCTTTTAATCTTTGATTGCAAATATGATTTTTAGTATCATTGGGATAGCGGTGATGAATAGCTTTAACTTGAATGTTACATGAAAACTGCCTTACATCATCTGTTTATAAATATACGAAATCAATTGATCATAGTTCTAAGAACAATCTTTTCTTGGCTCTATTTTGATGTACCAAAGTTTTACTCAAATAGACAAATGCATTTACTTGATCGATATGTAATGAAAAAGTGTTTTTGAATTGCATTGCAGAAGTTCAGTCTACATGACATACTTAGACGATTGAACTTAAGAGTCCGTGCTTCTATCTTGGATTTCTTATATTTCAATAATAGTCCTTGTGAATGTCATGCTGGTGTTGACCATTGACATTGGTGATAAATAGTTGCGAATTGAGAGTTGGAGACTTGGAGTAGGGTTAAAAATTGTCGTAGAAAGAACTTCCTCTATTCATTAGTTCTTTGTCATGGTCGGGGCACCATGGTAGCTATGATTTTAGATTTGTCATTGTATTGGTGATAGCAAGAAAACTAAAATACTTTAGTTCTTTTTCCTTGCCATTTGAAGTCACATATTCATGATATATCATAAAGCATACTGGGAGATATTAAGTTCTTGAAGGATTTTAGCTGTTGGATTCATAGTTGAACTAATTATCCCAGAAGGCTTTGATGCTGCTTGTTTTCCAGTTGCATTGGTGATTGAATCTATTTGATCGTAAAGCTAGATGTCGTAGGCAAGGATGAGTAGAATAACCGTCCTCATTGAACTTAAGGTCTGTGATTCCTTTCCCCTTGAAAGTTTATTTTTAAATGGTGGGTTTCGGAAAGAGTATAATGTAAGATCTTTTGATAGTACTCTAGGAGTAGAACCACCCTGTTCCATATTTGGTCTTCGAATATTGTGATTAGGACACAGATTCTATGCTGTCTAGAGTAAGATTTTCTGAGAGTACTCTAGCAGTAGAACCACCCGGTTTCATCTTTCATCTCTGAAGATTGCGATCAGGACACAGATCCTATGCTGTCTATAGCACCCATAATCTTTTGCTTCTCGTAAGCTAAAATCCACATGCCAAAAGGTGCTGCTGTTTCACCCACTGCTTCATGTATTTATTTTCCCCATCTTTAGCATCTAGTGAATGGAAGGGAATAGGAGGTAACTACATATAGTTTTCAACATTCTTTTGGTGATTTTGCTTGTGGCCATGTGAAAATGCTATTTGTGGGATAAAATGATCAACAGAGGAGAATTTTCTGAATGGTTTAAAATACTTTGCTCTAGTCAAAAGAAGTTTTCTTTCTCTTTTAGCACACACGATTATTTATTCATAGCCCAAGCTCACAATGGCTTTTAAATTACACACCTTATGCTACCCTCCTAATTGAAGATAGTCATATTCATCATCCTATAAAGGGCAAAAGAATATCAAGAGGTTTGGGAAATAATCTTAAGTATTCATCTGCTACTTGGCTAGCTTGCTTGTAACTCTAGAATCTAAATATAAGATGCAGGTGTACCTAGCAAAGTAAAGTGAAATCAGGCATTAGGCAGAAAAAAAAAACAGGTAAGGCTGGATGGTCCAAATCTTGACAAATATAAAGGTTTAAGAATACAAGCAAAGGAGTACTTTGACATGGATTGTAGGAGCTATTTTCTTTGTATATGTGGCATTGGCTTAAAATATGAGGTAATCTGACCTCATAGTAACTCACCACTTATTTGCACATACTGGTTGGTGGAGAATTAGATAGGTCGGGCCCTGGTCCTAATTTAGTGAAGTTGATTAGTTTGCTTTTAACAGTAGTGGGGACTTGGGAGAAAGCATTTTGACCTTACTGGCATTGATAGGACCAGAAAAAGGACAACCACCTGCACCCTGGTTCACTTGGTCTGACTAGCACTTTTTAAAGATTGGCGAAACTGGGGTAGCCCTTTGAGACCCAAAAATTAGAAAAGTGTTTATTTTCTTTGGGACTTGGATAATTGATGAATAATAAAGATACAGAAAAAGATAGTTGGCAGTAGGCTCTAGTTGTCTCTCTTTAAAGTATTGTTGTTTCAAGGGCCTTTAATTTGTTTTAGAAGTGGCGGTGTGCTTTAAAAGGTTTTCTTTTACACATACAATCTGCTCTTTGAAGTTAAAGGCGTGAAGAAGTTCATAAATTTCCTTGTATCTCAGCTTTTGTAGGACCAAAGTTCATTCCTTTTGTAAGAAATGTTAATCTTGATGTTCTGGTTGTGTGGTTTTCTTGTGGTTCTGTTTGTGATGGAAAATGCAGAGATGGCTACTTAATATGGCATTTCCTTCGAAAAATGAGGCATTTAGTGCAAATGTGTCACCATGAGTATGTTCTAATATAAGTCGATCAGCTTATCCAAATTCGATTTTACTTTTATTTGTTCTAATTTCTATAGATAATGAAACCGGTGGCGGGCTTTAGACGAATTTCGGAAACAGCTTGACAGCCCAAACTCGTGTGCGAGGATGTTCATGTTCTCTCATCTTTTATGGATTCGAATTTTAACATTTACTTTGGAAATATAATATCTCTACTTAATAGAAAACGACTCAAGTCAGTCTGAAACAAGTAACAAGTGGGGCTTTGAACCATAAACAAGCAATATTATTATACAGTACACGGTGAAGTTGAATATATTACAGGGTAAATTATGTATTTAGTTATATAACTATTCAAGTGGTTATGATAAACATTACGTTTTAATTTTTAAATTTGATTAATAATCCAGTTATATAACTATTCATGTGATTATGATAAATAATACGATTTAATTTTTAAATTTGATTAATTATCTAGTTATATAACTATTCATGTGATAATGATATATATTACGTTTTAATTTTTTAATTTGATTAATTATGATTATGATGAATATTAAGGTAATATTTCATTGTCATTAAGAAATAGAAAAATATATTATATTAACAATTTTATTAATTTTTTAACAATAAATTATTAAAATCAAAACATAACATTAAATGTAATTTTAAAAATTAAAATTTAAAATATAGTTAAGTGATTATAATAGAATTGTTCAAATAATTGAATGATTAAACATATATATATTTTTAAAAATAACCAAATATTTTATTTATTGAAAGTCGTATCAAAAAGTGTTTTGCCAATTATAGACTGAACAAATACAGTCAAGATTATCGAAAATAAAATAAAACAATAATTGTTTAATGATAGCCTAATAAACAAAATCATTAACAAGTGGAGCAACAACGTACATAAACTGAACACACTAACGACTTCGAGCATCAAAACATGGAGGAGAGAAACTTGAAGAATAACTAAAATGGTCAACGGAAAAAGCGATCTCCCCTTAACAACAATCTCATCCAACACATATATATGCTATAACTAACAAACAGTATTGTACAAACGAACAGAGGAACCGAACATCGAGAAAACAACCAACCATATATTTAATGAAAAACAAAAAACCAAGAAGAATACCGATAAAAAAAACTACACCAAGAGTCTAAAGTACTAATAGCCCTTATATCCTTTATTATAAAAAGATCAAGAAAAATTATTATTGAAAATACGATAAAAAATAACTAAAAATTACATGATGGTATCTAGAGAAGACTACTACAGCTGCCATGAAACAAACAAAAATTAACATATATAATTTTTTGTATATTCTAATCTTACACTTCCACGTGCAGTTATTTTATCATTTGATTTGATTCTTAAAACCCACACGTGCGTAGTCCCCAACAATGAAATATTTTAATGTTCTGATTTTGTAAATAAAATGATATATTTGAATTTTAGTAAGCCCATTTATCTCTGAAATGACAGGTGTCGCAACAAGAGAGATGATTCTGTCACGTGTCAGTTAACCAGCAGAAGTGGCGTGGAAAGATATAATGATTCAGCTGTATCGAGTCTTATCAAGTGGGCAACTAATTAATAAAATAAAATAAAATAAATTAACTAAAAGAAGGGAAGCGTGGACTGTGTCTTGTCTCCTGTCCCTCAAGCCAAAGGAGAAGCAAATTATGATTATTTTTCCTTTTTTTATTTGTTTAAATATTTTATAATTTGGGTAATTTTCTCAATAAATTACCGGTGATCGATATATTTACCGATCTAACACTAGTTAGATTATATTTCCCGATCTAACACCCGTAGCAGTAAAGCGCGCCCACTGAATCGCGCTATATGCTGATTTGGCGCCACGAGTACGCTGATTTGGCGTCACTAGGGTATAGCGCGCCCCCTGATCCGCGCTATACCTGGGTATCTGACACGTGGGGTATATCGCGGTGCAAGGCGCGCGCTACACTACTAAATACACGTCTCCATCCTCCCTATAAATATCACATCCTCAATCACTTTTATCACACTAAATTTTCTCAAATTCTCTAAATTTCTCTCAAATACTCTATCTTTTTAAGGTATATTTTATAATATTTTTATTATTATGTATTTACTTTATTTAATATTTTACTAATATAATTCTTTTGCAGATATATAATGGAAGGCAGTATACTTCGTTCGGATGGAAATCATATATCTCTACACTTTGCTGATACGTTAACATTTTAACATTTTAATTTAATTTAAATTATCAGTAATATTTAGTTGATTTATTTAATGCATGATTATTATATTAAGAATTAAATATCTCGACACTTTGCTGATACGGTAACATTTTAACGTTTTAATTTAAATTTAAATTATTAGTAATAATTAGTTGATTTATTTAATGCATGATTATTAGATTAAGAATCAAATATATCGACACTTTGCTGATACGATAACATTTTAACATTTTAACGTTTTAATTTAATTTAAATTATTAGTAATAATTAGTTGATTTATTTAATGCATGATTATTAGAGTAAGAATTAATTTTTGTAATTATTTATTTTTAGGAGAATGACCGTGTATTAGATCCTTTTATTAGGAATCTTAAGTTAGTGATACCCAGCCGTGTCTTGCCGTATTTAGTAGAGGCTGGATTCGGTTATATAGGTAGATATCATGGTCACTGTAAGATAGAGCCAGACCTGATTTCTGCCTTAGTAGAGCGGTGGAGGCCGGAGACCCACACATTCCATCTTCCGTGCGGAGAGTGCACGATCACGCTTGAGGATGTTTCTATGCACCTGGGGCTTCCGGTGGATGGAGATGTGATATCGGGGATAGCTTCCGGTTCTTGGACTACTTTGTGTCGGGATAGTTTAGGACGTGTCCCGGAAAATTTTATCGGAGGTAGGATACCGTTAAATTGGTTAGATGCTCTCCACATTTAGGTCGAAGAACCTACTACTTGCACGCCTTCCCCTTGAACTGGAAGGCATATCGACATTAAGATCGAAAAAGCTCGCAGTCGAATGCCTCCCCCTGAAGCTTGAAGTCATCGTGTCAAATGGAAACTGCACAGATGGTTGCGTCGATGGCATCTCCATATGATCAAAGAAATTTGCAGATGAATGCCTTCCCCTTGAACTGGACGCGGTGTTGCCATACGGATTGTTCGCGGACCCACCTCGGTATATATCGTAAGGAGTTGAGGATGAATGTCTCCCCATGATGGCATTAAAATCATTACACATTACTGTAGTCGGGCTGTCAACTTGATCAACTTGTTCAGCCAGCCCATAGTGTGAGCTTAAAGATTGACCCCGAACAACACGCACTTGAACAAAATGTGCATACATCTCAATAGCGGCGTCTGAATAATTACTTTGAGCTTCAACCATCATTTGAACATCATCATTGTTTGAAAGTTCGAATGCTGTATAAGTTAATGGCAACAATGATGTTGGAAATCTGTACTGCAACGACGACATTCTTCTGTTACTTCAAACATGAATATTCCTCGAAATCTTCGTTATCAGCTCCTCAAGAGTTATGTTTCTCTTGAATGATATTTTAACATACTCATTTGATACGAAAACAACGTCGGTTTCATCTTCTCGAATTTCACCATCATAGTAAACAATAGATGAAAGTCGCGCCATTCTTTGAGTTTAAAAGTGCGGCAATATTATATCTGTAAAAAAAATAACTTAAACAAACCTGATTAAATAAATTATATATGAACGAAAATATAACACAAAATTTTTTTTACACATCAACGTAAATAATTTAAATAATATAATTTTATATTATTACCTGCACCGCAAAACTATTTCGACGTATGCTCCCGCTTTTCAATTTTACAAACATAAAAATTAATTAAAAATAAATAGTATAATATTTTTTCAAATAATGATAATAAACAATAAGTATAATTAAAAAATTATAACAAAATTACCTTATAACGAAAAATCGCACGAACTTCTAAATCAAATATAAGAAGATTGCCAGAATTATTACTCGTTGACGGAATTATTGTATTAATTTATAAGAGAGGAGAGATGCGAGGAGATGTGAGGAGAGATGTATTTATAAACATATAAGGCGTGGTACCTGCACCGCGTTATATGTAATTATTATATAGTGCGGATCAGGGATCGCGTTAAATATAATTTTGGTACGACGTATAACGCGACCCTTGATCCGTGCTATACCCCTACGTGGCGTATAGCGCGGAGCAGGAGGCGCTATACCCACGTGACGCCAAATCAACGTATAGCGCGGTTCAAGGGACACGCTTTACTGCTACGGGTGTTAGATCAAAAAATATAATTAGACCGGTATTAAATCAATAAATATACCTATCACCGGTAATTTTTTTTTTTTTTTTTGAGAAATCGCCTATAATTCGGACATGAAAGCCATGATATAATGTTGATATCTTTAGCTGTCAATTTTTATCATTTCATTCCGTACCCGTGTGCATTGATATTCTTTGGCATAATGACATTTTAGGTCTTTCAAGCTTATTAATTTAATCATCTTAGTCCGTAAACCTTTGATTATATTTCTTTTAACCTTTAAACTTTTAAAATTTATAAATTTGGTTCAAATGTAAATAAATAATGATGGAAAGTTAAACCGATTGATGAATGAAAAATATTAAGTCTTCGTTACAATGTTGACTAATTTGTTTCTGTTATCGATGAATGAAAAATATTTAAAATGTATTAAAAGGAATATTAGTATTTTAATAAGTATAAAATATTTTTTTAAAATCTTAGAAATGATATAAAATAATAAAATCACTTGTTTTAATTTAACATTCTCGTCATTATTCTATTACATTTGAGTTAAATTGATAAAAGAGATGTTTAGGGTTAGAAGAGATGTACTAAAAGTTTAAGGGTTAAAATAATAAAACTGATGAAGTTGAGAGTAAAAGATGTCATCCTGCCATTTGGTTTTGAGACTTGGGTTTTGAGGAGGATCTGACATTGTCGTGATTGACAGTGATGGCCCCTACTCCGACGTGTCGAGGCCTGTGATTATGGGCCAACATTTGGTTGTATGTCGGCTGGTGCTTGTACTACATGGGTCCACCCATCAACTCTACAGCCCCATCAAGGATTCAATAATCAAATTTGAAATTAGTGTTAATTAAATATTTTATTTGTTATTGTATGTGTAGTTAGTGGGAGACGACTATCCAGCTCAGTTGGTAGAGCATAATGTTCTTAATCTTGAGGTCGTGGGATCGAGTCTCACGGAGAGCATTTTATAATTCGGAGGTCTTCTACGGAAGCTGCTCTCAACCTGGTGTTGGGAGCGATAGCTCTGGCCCCACCTTTTAAAAAATAAAAATTAAAAATTAAAAAAAAACATAAATGCCAATTAATTTAAACTTTATAACTCTACTTCTATCTTTAACATTTTCCCTCACTTCATTTAGTTCTCAATTTATTCTCCCCAGATTAACTCTTAAACTTATTCAAATCTTTATTACCGTTAATTATGTTATATTTAATCTTACTAATTAAACCCACAAAGATGCCAATCAATTTTATCGAGGACTAGATTGCGATAATTTTACCGATAAATTTACTTTAAGGAATGTTTTGAGGACGAGGTTGTTCAAGTGACTAATATGTAATATTTAATTTTGGTGAAGTTATTATTATGTAAAAGTTTTGTGTATTGTTTTTTTATCGTTTAATTTTAAAATTAATTACTTATGCGTCAATTGTTTAGGGGTGTCTTTTTTAATTTATGCTCTAAGTCCGATAATAACCGAGACGGTAATGATAGAAATGATTATAAAATAATATATATTTAATTTTTTTATCTATTTATAATAACAAAGATAACTTTATAAACACAACTACTAAGATTTAAATTTTTTAAAAAGAGTAAGCTAAAATAACTCAATAGATTAGTCCTATTAACTTTTTGAGTGACATTGATTATAATGAAAACAATTTACAATTTTGATGATTATATTGAAGTTTTTAAAAGTTCTGTAACCAAAATATAAGTTTGCTAAAAGTTTGGTGAATATTTTTATAGTTTACTCTCAAACATACGAGGTTATTTTAACTGTAACTCGAGAAATGTTGCCAACCTGACGTTTTCCATGTTTTTTCTCAGTAGTTTTAATTAAACCTTCCGGTTCCAGTTTCCTCCATATCCACCAAACAATTGAAAGCTAATATTTAGCTTTAACACAGGCAAGAGCCTCTCAAAATCTCCCATCTTTTCATTTCCCTCTGTCAGCGAAAGCTCTAACCTTTTACTTGCACAATTCATCCGTTGGAATCTTTGGTGGTCTTACTTTTCAATGGTTAATGGTGGTTCTGAAAGTGGGTCAATTTGTAGCGTGTCAAGGGAGGATAACATGGCGGTCTCCTCTGAAGATTCTTCAAGCCCAGATGAGTCTGAATTGGAATTGGGTCTTGGCTTGAGCCTCGGTGGTGGTTCCAAGATGCATCAGGCTTCAAAGTGTGGTCAATATGCAAGGATTTTGACCGCTCAAGATTTCCCTTCTTCGTCTCCTTCTCCATCCTCCTCCTCCTCTTCGTTTTCTTTAAGTAGAGCTAATGTCACGGCAGGGACCAAGAGGACTGCTGATTCAGTGGCTGCTGCTGCTAATGGATCTTGGTATGATTTAGCTTTAGCCTGATTTATGAATATTCCATGTTTCCATTATATATATATATATATTATCATAGCTCTGTTATGGTGTTCAGTTAATTACGTAAGGGATGGTCCCATCAACTACTCGATTTTGTTACAATGAATAGGAGATCAGGGGGGAGAGAATTAGGGAAGGAAAAGAAAACTAGACTTATCCAACTAGGCTAAGTATATTACTAAATTGCGGTTGTACATCTTGCCGACATTTGGATATGATTTGTTTTCTAAACATAACTGTATCTTTAAATTGCGGATGTGTTGTTCGTAGTGAGCTTGAAAACCGTTACGATGGACCGTTACAGCCGTAATTTATTACTATGGTTCTTGAAGGATTGATTCATTTAAGAAGGGGTTTCTAAGGGGAGACAAGTTAAAGAGTCAGGCTGTTGATGATTATGAGTGGATTTGGGATGCTCCCACTCTTGTTGGGACGGGTCCTGTTAGTTGCGTTTTGCAAACATACTATTTTTAGCGTTGTTGTTCTCCTAGGAGTATCAGTGTCTGATTTCGGACACCATTTTGGGACATGTTGTGTAGGGATATGATCCTTTAAGATCCCCAAATACATGGAAAAAGGTTTTGGCATGCTCGTGTCATACCTAAGTCTTGAGTAGCATAACTATATACGGTTTCTACTTATTTTCAAGATGTAGATGCTGATAGATCTCAACTTTCCAGTCTTCAATTCCGAACTCAGTTTATGTTCCTGTTTGACTGTTGATCCAATAATCAGCTTAGAGTTAGAATACATGGTTTGATCATTGAATGACTCGCGATAAATAAGACGGTCTTACATATATGAATGATAATGATGAACAAATTGGACATAGATGAAAAAGAAGGTAAAAAAGTGGATTCTAATCCTCATTTTGGCAACTTGGTCATGCAGGATGATTGTCCCTGTATTATACAACTGATCCAATTTTCGAGTTCTAGAACCAAACTTAAGTAGAAATGGAAACATATTAAGTAGGAGAAAGTTTAATGTGTATGATTATTCTTTGGTACCTTTTCAATATCTCGTTAGTAGCTCACACCTTTCTTTCTATTAACATACTGTTGAGTTATGGTGCTTGAACCATTGATTTTGTTTAAAATGCAAACAGTCAAGTGGTGGGGTGGCCTCCCATCAGAGCTTATAGAATGAATAGCATGGTTAACCAAGCAAAAGCATCATTCACTGAAGGATTTAACTCGACGACTATGGAGAACCGTAGAAAGGAGACCTCAATGGTTGAGAACAGCACCATTGGCAGCTACCATAGCAGTGGTAACACTAATGCCAGCAGGACATCTCTTTTCGTGAAGGTGAAAATGGATGGAATTCCTATTGGAAGGAAGGTCGATCTGAATGCCTCTGAATCATACGAAAAGTTAGCAAAATCGTTGGAAGAAATGTTCCCCGAAACCGCCCCGGGTGCCAATCCAGCAGGTGAACTGGTCCCTAATTTATTTTGTTTCATGCATCGTGTCGAAGTCCACTTTAGAAGAGTGTACTGTGGTTTTACTATTAGATGATCGTCCAAGTATGTTTCTCTTACGAGTGTTTGTCATGATTTGTTATTAGGATCGACGGCACGGCAGCATGATGTGACAAACAAAACGACAAGACATTCGAAACTGCTGGATGGTTCATCCGATTTTGTTCTTACTTACGAGGACAAGGAGGGTGACTGGATGCTTGTTGGAGATGTTCCTTGGGAGTACGTATAATTTCCATTTTATGCATTTCACTCTGCATAAAACATCTATTAGTTCGGACTATAGCATAAAGCAGGGGAGGGTTACTGGAAAAGCTTAAAATCTTCATATACGTGCCATTCCTCTAGTCCACTCGAACCTGCCTTGAGAATAGGAAGTTGGTCATCTCCTTAACACTCATCGTGAATGTTCTCGGGTTTGATTCAGGATGTTCCGTAGCTTGGTGAAGAGGCTTAGAATCATGAGGAAATCCGAGGCTGCCGGATTAGGTATGTATGCTTATTCGTATTCTCGTCTGACCTTGTTTACGATGCTTTGAGTCTCATTCATAATTCACAGCTCCAGGATCAGAAGCAAGGAATCAGAGGCAAAGAAGAAAGCCCATGTAGAACACGTTTGTCTCAAATCCATCCCTTGGAATTGGAACATACAAAGGAAAAGAAATGCAGAAAAGTTGGAGCAATTTGAATCCCCTTGTGTCTCCTGTTTGTTTCCTATCATTACGTATTTTTGTTTCAAGCTCAATTACAGTGTTTCGCCATAGAAATTTAGTTTTCAATGTAATATTAATACAACATAATACTTGGTGAGTGATGTGTTCTTCTACTTGTGTCTGTAAATGAAAGAGCCATTTTAGTGTTATTTCATGTTTTGGGACCTTCGGAATGAGTTTCTTTTGTGAGTGATGTTGTAACTAAGATTCGATTGAGGAGCGGGTGGGACGGTCCCCCTAAAATTTTCGAATTCTTTTATATTTTATTTTTTAAAATATTTTTTATTAATTAAATTCTTTTATATTTTATATTAATAATTTATTTTTTTTCTCTAAAATTTTATAAATTCATAGAGTTCACCGCTCTAGATATATAATCTAAAAATATATGTTTTATCTCATGATATGTCATTCCTCTTTTATTTTTCTCTCTAATGACATCGTCTACGTCACTAGCTATCTCAATGTTTAAATAACAAAACATGTTCGATCTTTATTATTAATAGTAGGGTAAACTACGTAAATGACCACATAACTAAAGGACGGGTCACAAAATGACCATTATTTTTAAATCTGTGTCAATATGACCACTGAATTATTTAAATAATTTTAATATAACCACTTGTCGTTAACATTTAATGGAAGTGTTTATGTGACAGTTAATAAAACTGATATAATTAAGCCGCGAGTCCTTGTAAAATTACGTATTTATAGATTATAAAAATTGTCACCAAACTTTTAACATACTTATATTTTGGTTACAAAACTTTTAAAAACTCCAATATAATCATCAAAATTTTAAATTGTTTTCAATATGATAAATGCCACTCAAAAAGTTAATAGGACTAATCTATTGAGTTATTTTAGCGATAAAGAACATTATTCTTTTTAAAAAATGTAAATCTTAGTAGTTGTGTTTATAAAGTTGTCTTTATAATCATAAACAAATAATATTTTTTAAATAGATATTATTTTATAATAATTTCTATTAGGGCCATCGACCATTATCGGGATCCTAGATTATACAAGGACCCGCACCCTAATTGTACTAATTTTGTTAACTGTCACACAAACACTTCTGTTAATTGTTAACAATAGGTAACTGTATTAAAATCATTTAAATAGTTCAATAGTCATATTGACATAAATTTAAAAATAGTAGTCATTTCACAACCTAACTCTTAATTATGCGATTATTTATGTAGTTTACCTTCAATAATATCTACATCAACCTTCACACTAAATTTTAAATTAATTATCATCAATAATTCGAGATTTAATATTTATTCATATTTATAATCAATGTATTTTGTTTGTTGTTTACATAATCATAAAATTTGCATATAAATTATTTACTATTCTATCTATAATTATGAAATAAATATTTTAATGGTAAAATTCAATTTTGCATTTTTGCTTGTATGAAACATCTTGGCAAGTTCAGAGTAAGACAATTTTTACACGTGGAGTACTTGCAACATTGGCCGTTTATAAGGAAGAGGATAATGAATGGATTAAGGAGACCACAAAATAACAGAAGGGAAATGACAGATTTAGCCTTAGTCTGAGCCTGACTGACACAGCTGTGTCATGGTGTCGTTATCTTCAAGACCGTAATACCCTCTGGTCAAACACGTATTTTGTCCATCCAATTATCTTCTGCCGTCTGTCCATCCTTCATCTACGGAAACCAACCCTTTTACCAGAGTCATACACCATAATAATAATCTATTTTCACGCCAATACAAATTTTCCATTATTATTATTTAAAATATTTAAATTACTTTAATAATGAAATATTTTTATAACTAAAAACTAAAATCATTTTAAATAAAAATATAAAAAATATAAATGTCAACATATTTTTCCATTAACCGTTTATGAAAAGTGTAGAAGGGTAATTTAAGTCAAATATTAATAATGGAGGAAGCAATATGCAAACAGTCATCCGTCCCACCTGCCGTCTCTATGTATAAATTAAAATTTAAAAATATTTAAGACCTATAATTCATAAAATTTAAAAAAATATAATAATTATACTTACTAATCATAGTACATTAAAAATGGATTAAAAATCTAGAATGCAAATTATTAATATGTTGGATTTAAAACTCCGGAACATATGAATTCATACACGATTTGTATCACCATGGATGGATGTAGGCGGGACGAATGGGGCAATCGTTTCCTTAAAATTTTATAGGTATAAGTTTCTCTTCTGAAATTTAATAATTTTAAATTTGTCTCCCATTAACGTAAAATTTTACGTTTGTATTTCCTTCTATATTGGTCTTGGAAACCCAGAAATCTTATCCTCTCACTCCCTTGTCAAAGGCATAAATAATATATACCTCATAGGCACAAACCTCAGCTTGCTTATTAATAACTGACAGCAGAAGAAAAACTAAAGAGTGCTTCTCCATCTCCTCGTATTAGAATTCTTGTTTGTAAAATTTTAACCAAGGTATGGGCGAGAATAGCCTTGGAATTGTTGTAGAAGGAAACCCATCAGAGTCAAAACTGTCGGAGCTCAACATCAAGTGCTGGCCCAAGTAAGTTTCCCATTTTTTTTGGTCCATTAATGATTTTGTTTGCAGGGGGGTTGGGGGGATTTAATTTCTGAGAATGAATAACAGATGGGGTTGTTCACCTGGGAGATACCAGCTCAAGTTTGACGCAGAAGAAACGTGCTATTTGCTGAGAGGGAAAGTTAGGGTTTACCCAAAAGGCACATCGACGACGGAGTGTGTAGAGTTTGGTGCCGGAGATCTCGTAATCATCCCCGAAGGTCTTAGCTGCATTTGGGATGTTTCTGTTGCTGTTGATAAGCATTATAAATTTGATCCTTCTTCTGATGATGATGATGACCAGTGATTATTTTATTATCAATACATATATCTTCATTAGTTTCTTCTCTAACTCCTTTACATCACCAGCACAAATTGTTTCTGCTCGTTGGTCAAAGGAATATGTCTCGTTCAAACTAATCCTTTATTACATCAAATGCCTCCTTTGACCGGTCAATCTGTTTGTATTTATAATTAGGACCCCTAATTTTTTATATTTATAATTAAGCCCCTGTTTTTATAATTTCATAATTTTTTAGTTTTGACCCTCTTTTTCATTTATCTTATTATTCAATTTTGAATTAAATTTAACTAATTTTTATATTTATAATTAGGGCCCTAGTTTTTATAATTTCATAAAATGTTTAGTTTTGACCCTCCTTTTCCATTTCTCTTATTAACTCATTTAATTTTGAATTAAATTTAATCATGTTTTTCTCTTTTTTCAAATCTTACTCTTCAACTTATCAAATATTCTTTAATTTTTAGTCTTCTTCATTATCAATCTAACAATAAAATAATATACAATTCTTTTTATTTATTATTAAAAAATCAAGCTATGTATCATAAATGCATTCAATTTTTATATTTATTCTCTTTTAGTTGTATTTAAGGTGTTTTCTAAATAAAATAATATATTTTCACAAAATTTAATCATCTTTCTATGATTTATTTATGTAATATTGAATTAATTGTTCAAAGTAATAAAATATACTTTCATTTTATAAAGACATATTTTTAAATTTTCGTTTAGAGCCCCGAAATTGTCTGAGACGACTCTGTAAATATGTCAAGTAAAATTTATGTATGATAAAGAAAAGATTATGTCAACATTCTCGTGTGAACTTACTAGCAAAGTGAATGCAATCATGCAAATGCAATGCATATATTATGTGAATGCGCATATATTATGTGAATGTTTGAAGCATCTATATCAGCGTCATCACCGATTCTTTTAATGATCGATGATAAAAATATAAAAGAAAACGTAACGTTAATAATGATTTTATCAAAAAGTAATTTAATAATTAAAATAAAAAACAATAAATTAATGACTAACGGTATAGTTCACTCTTTAATATATAATATATTTATTTCATAGGGTCAAACTCGTTTGATGATGGATGAAACTTGGAAGCATGAATCCATGCACGTTCATGTTTCCCCTTACAAACTAGTTCATATCTCATATAGCATTGCATGTTCATTCTAAACAATTTTACGTATAATTGGTGGATTAGTCAAACATGTATAACATGGTCGTATAATCCATTAATAAACGTATAGTTTTTAATAGTTAAAAAGATTAATATTTTTTTTTAATTTTTGGAATATACGATCATATTATATGTATGTTTGACTAGTCTACCAAATTATATGTAAGATGAACATGCATTCCTATATGAGATATGAAATGTACAATAGTTTTAAAATTGTGTCTCTAGGTACTTATTAATCGGTTTCATTAAGTGTAGGTGAAGAGTGGTATTGGTCAAGAATTTGGACTATGATTAAGAAACTATAAAGTTTACCATAATGTGGGAAAGGGAAGAAATATTATATAGACACACACTACATAGACACTTTGACTTCAATTAAATTAGGATAAAATATGCAAAAATGTTTTTATATTAAGTCAAAATGATCTTTTTGATCATCAAACTTTTAAAAGTTATAAAATAATTATTGGACTTTTGATTTGATTACGAAATGATCATTGTATTATTTAATATTGACAGATCCACACATATATTAAGATGTGCAACTGCCCACTTTGAAATCCGATTTTTCTTATATTTGTTTTTCATTTTACTAATTATGTCCACCTTAAAATTATGTTTATATCTATCCACATACAAAAAGATTTGTGTTTGTAACATATGTGTGTCCACCCTAAAAAATATTTCTGGATCTGTCACTGTCACTGTTATTGTTTATTTAATGTATCATGTCATCCCTTAACAACGATTAATGAAAATTAACGATATGGTGATAATTTTATAATTGAATTAAAATTTAATGATCATTTTATAACTTATAGAAATTCAGTAATTGAAAAAAAACCACATTATTTAATGATCATTTCCTATTGGACTTATAACTTATGAATAAAAAACTATAGAAGAATAAAGATGAACAACTTATCCTATCAGTTAAATTTATTAGTTGTTCAATACGTTATTTTTTTAGTAAACTAAGGTGATTACAAAGTAGTATTTATTCTAAGTATTCTTCACCATTTGACAATGAACACTTAATCATATTGTTGTCGTCATTAGTGATCGAACCTGTGACCTTTAAGAACCACTAACTAGAGAGAGAGAAACACATAAACTTCGTGTGGCATGCATGGAACGTAGGGATGTGGGTACACATTGAGGAAACCCATTTTTGAGGAGCTAAACCATATATAAAAAAAATTCTCTTTTCTTAACATGTTATCTACACATAACTTGAACGAACACGCAGAAATAACACTCAACTAATTTTTGTTTTTCTGACATTTTATTGGGAATTAATATATTTTTATTTGTGAAATAACATATTAGATTACACCATATTTATGATATATGTGAACGAAAGTGGTTTTTGAAGTTTAGATATGTATACATATTTTAGTAACATAAAATATATATAAAATTAAGATATTTAAGATTTAAATTTATATTTATAATTGAGTTATATGAATTAAATGAAATAAGATCATGAATTGTTTTAGGGTAAACTATGTATTTAGTACATGAACTATCAATTTGGTCAGTTTTAATACCTAAACTTTATTTTTTTCAAATTCGATCATACATAATGTTCAGTTTTTGTTTAATTTTAGTATCTCGTTGTTAAAACTTAACACGTTTAATACCTAAACTATCAATTTTTGTCCGTTTTAGTATCTAAACTTTCAAAAAAATTCAAAACTTAACGTTAATTTTTTAACAGAGGTACTAAAATGAAAAAAAAACTAAACTTTAAGTATGATTTTAATAAATTGAAAATTTATACTAAAATAGATCAAACTGATAATTTAATTACTAAACATGATTTACCCAGAAATTTAAAAACCTAAATATTTAGTTAGAAAACAAATGAGTAATTTGATCTAACTAAAACACTTTCCTAGAATTTGAAATTCTCCATCATTTTTAACCATACAAACGAAATCTTCCTTAAAAATTAAAAAGCTTGAAGATACTTCTCAAATTTCTCATCCAAACGAATATTTGTGAGATGGATCCGACTTATGTTATCCGTAGATCCAATCAATAACATTTTTTCATCTTATTTTTTTTCAAGGTGAATTTTCACCTCTTCCCTACGTAAATAAAGTGTAGACGATATCTAGAAATTGTTGATGAATATGATTCACTGAAAATATAAATGATGTGGTGAGTCAGACCATGAAATAAATTTCGTCCAAACACATTTATGTAACTTAAAAATCCAAAATAATAATAATTTAAAAACAAAATAAGGAATAAAATCCAACAAAATCCCGTCCCCAAAAGTAAAGCCATGAATGCATGCCACGACGGTGGAACTAGCAAAGCGAGGGTGTTACACTTGGTGTATGTGAGGGCCTTTGGGACAAGAAAAATATCAAATGTCATGCTTGGGATTTTATATGAATATACGTAGGTAAAAGCTGGAAAGAATGATTCTTTGGAATTGGATTTATAATATTATATGGTAAAACATGGAAACGCCAAACCATGAAAAGCTCTCAATCTCAATAATTTACGTGAAAGGAGAGAGAGCCTCATCGGAGGTTCATTTCTACGAGAGTACAACTACACTAAAACCCTAATCTTAAAAAAAAAACTTTGCATAGAAAGATGCAACAAGTACCTTGAATGCATGCGTGTTCAACCCAAAGCAAGACTAAGGGCCTTCCACATATCTTGGATCAGGACGACATAATTTTATTTAAGGTAAGAATGTGAACTTGTAAAATTTTAAGGGGTACGAAACATATTTTCAGTAAAATACATATAAAAAATCTGAATATATAATAATTTTAGATTTTAAGAGGACGACCATTCCCCCAAATAAAACAGTGTATTCATGCTTTGAACCTCTAGATTATCCTACCTAGTACTCCACAATTTAATCTTTTTGTACCTTCCATAAAATATTCCCTCATTCATTCTGCCACATTTGTAGAGTTAATGGTAATAAGCAATAACGAGAAATACAGTGAAGGTAGTGAAGCGATTGAGCAGATTTTCTGGGGTTGGGGGGAGGGGGTGGAATTGGGTTGGATAGTTGGTGTTTGAAAATTACTAAACAAAGTTTTGCAGAAGTAGAGGACAGTTGGCAGAATGTGGTTTGGGGTGGAAACAGCCTTTGGAGTAGCAATTCTAAACTATATTTTTCCAAAGATTAATCCTCCAACAAATTTATTAAATCAAGTATAATGAATATGAGATCTATTAAAATATATATCCCATAATAAAATAACAAAACTTAACCATTGAAATAGCATTAATTCTTGAATGTCATCACATGGTCATTTGTCTCCTTCCACACCAAGCTCCCCTATTTAAACCCCTCCACTCCCTTCAGTTCCTCCAACAAATCAAATCTCTTCACAACAAACACCAAATCTCGTTGAATCTACTTTTTGTTCATCAATCTTCCAAAGAAAAGAAAAAAGAGCCCGTGTTCTTCAACAAACCCTTGAGAGTTTAGCCAAATTCAAACAATATGGAGAACTTGTTTCGACTTTTCGATCAAGACCAAGGTTTCTTTCAACGTAAATGGACTTTGGTCAATGGTCCGTTGATAGTCGGTGCCGGACCATCGGGGCTGGCCACGGCTGCTTGCCTTAGAGAACAAGGGGTACCCTTTGCTGTTCTCGAAAGAGCCGAATGCATAGCGTCTTTGTGGCAAAAACGGACCTACGACAGGCTAAAGCTTCATCTTCCTAAGCAATTCAGTCAACTCCCTAAACTCCCTTTCCCTGAGGAATTCCCTGAGTACCCTAAAAAGGGGCAGTTCATTGAGTACCTTGAGTCGTACGCTAAGCGT